AAAATATATATATATTAACTGATGGTTCTTTTCCACTGGGTTTAACCTTTTTAGCATCATAACGAGACAGAAACCTTGAAGACCTGTTTGTGCCGTGGAGTCGGTTCTGACTTAGAGCGACTTTGTATAGGGTTTCTGAGGCTGTAAATGTTTACAGGAGCAGAAAGCCTCATCTTTCTTCCATGGACCAGTTAGTAGTTTAGAACTGCTGACCCTGAGGTTAGCAGCTGATTTGTAACCACTACGCTACCAGCGCTCCTTATTTTAAAGTAGAGGTTGGCAAACTTTGCTTATAAAGAACCAGACTGTAAATGGTTTAGGCCTTTACAGACCGTGTACTGTCTTTTGACATACTCTTGGTGGAGGGGGCCGGGGTGGCATGGTTTGACAACTTTAGATAAAAATTGAAACCTTTTTAGCCTTAGAAAACAAGCCTGTTCAGAGTTGTCCAGCCCTAGTCTTGAACCAGAGGAGCTTTCCTGCTCTTATTTCCCCCATAATACTGTCTCTTGAACTGACCCCCATGAAGTCTGGACACATAATGATCTTAAAATACTCTATTAAAGAACTTTTGGCAGTCTTTCAGTTAAAAAGTTTTTGATTGAATGGTCGTCAAGGTTATTTAATAGTTAAGTGCCATCAAGTTGTTTCTAACGGATAGAGACCACCTTTATAGGGTTTCTGAGGGGCAGCTGGTAGGTTTGAACTGCTGTCCTTGTGGTTCGCAGTCTGGTACTGATCCTACAGCACCACATCAGGAGTCCCTAAAACTAGACAGTGTAGGTGGGAGGTCTTGTGGCACCCCTTTCAACTGCCACTTGTTGCCTTTCAGATGGTGCTCCCTATGTCCCTCATGGGCTCTACAAACTGAGGGCTCTAGGTAATAGTCAAAACACTACCAAAGCTGTGCAGACCTTCCTAAAGAGCCTCCATGTGAGGGCTTCTCACAGAGAAAAATTAGGACAGAATGTTCATTTTAAGCTGTTGTCGAAGTGATAGTTTTAAAAGGCAGCAAGAGGGTCAATGAGGAGAAGATCCCTTGAAAAAATATAAGATATGGGGCTCTAGATTCAGAAAAAGAGTCATTACATCTTCAGTGTTATTTGCAAATCACGTCCTAATAAAAACGTAATTGTTTGTCTTCTTTGTGCTTACCCTGCAGGTGACGAAGGGAGATAGCAAAAATGCCAAAAAGAAGAATAATAAGAAAACTAGCAAAAACAAGAGCAGTCTGAGTCGGGGCAACAAGAAAAAGCCTGGCATGCCCAATGTGTCTAACGACCTCTCACAGAAACTATATGCTACCATGGAGAAGCACAAAGAGGTGAGATGCAGCCTGGAGAGTGGAAGCAAAAATGGTAGCGTTTCTAAATACATGACCACTTAAAATTGGAAAGGAAGACAACATTGTCAGGTCAGAAGGAAGCAGTCAGTGAGGGTGGTGAAGACAAATCTTAGGGTTTCTTTGATTTGTGTGTTGTAAATCTGGAATGTGGGAACATGGTGTCTCACTAACAATTATTAGTAATTAGCTATTTGAAATATTATTTAATAACCCTAACTGAGAGTGGCCCTTGGAGTTTATTGAAATGGATTTGACTTGAAAGTGTGGCTAATGTTGATGTGGGTAAATGGTCCACCTGTAAAGAGTTCAAATCTACAGTTGAATGAGGCTGTAAATTGCAGTATTGATTTAGTTGCACGGTGCCATAGGGTAGTGTTGACGATGATGGGAGGAGGTAAGGAGAACACATCCTTGCTCTTCCTTCCACTTTGAGAAATGAGGAGCAGTTGATACAACAGTTTACTCAAGGGGTTTGCTACATGTATGATCCCCTGCTTTCCCATGGATCCCTCTTCTCAAAATGCTTTTCCCTTGGTAATAAGAATGCATGCTTAGTTAGACCCACAATCTCAAGTTCAACAGCACACAGTCAGACAGAAAAGAGTCCTTGACTTTGAGCAATTGCTGCCTGTTTGCATACGTTTTCATTGTCTCTGTAAAACTTGTTCAAATGTAGACTATAGTAGGGGTACAGCAGTTGTTCACAAGAGCCTAATTTCTTACGTAGCGTTTCATATTTTGTTAGTTTAGTAAGAGTTTATATGGTTATATACAAATTAATTTCAAATACATATATGTAGCATTGGAAAAATAACAGTTTTATCCAGTTATGGAAATTAATAACTATTAGCCAAGCTTTCAAACGACTACCAACAAATTTTGCTGCTTCATTTTTTACAGGAAGTGGAGGGGGTAATTTTTATTTTTATTTTTTTAATCCTTACCACTCCCTCTAAAAAATGTGCACAGAGGTCCCAGCTGCTGTTCTTTATAATCTCAGCAAGTGCTTCATAACCACACGTGGTTTCCTGTTTGGGAAACTTTGAACAGTGCGGTGCCAGCATCTAGTGCCTGGTCCACACAGTTCATCCAAGAGCTGTGCTCGTGTTGAGTTGCTATGTCTCTTCATCTCCCCTTCATGGTGTGAACTCAAAAGTCAGGTGGGTTCTTTCTTTTTATTTCATTTGCAGAATTCGTTTGGATTAATCTGATTTGTTTCTTGTGATTTGATTCAGGTTAAGACATGGCTTGTATCTTAAAATATATTGCACTGGGCAACGTGTCTACTATACCTGAGCTCTAGACCATTTGAAAGGCAAAAGAAAAAAAAACAGAAGAACTTGTCATTTACTTGTGTTAATGATGCAGTCGTATAAAATGGACTCAGACATCACCTGTCTCAATGTCCACTCTGGGTGGTCCACCATGTGCCCTAGTGCAGTCAGGACGAGATGGTCTGTTTTGCAGGTGTTTTTTGTGATCCGTCTCATCGCCGGCCCAGCAGCCAACTCCCTGCCTCCCATCGTGGACCCTGACCCTCTCATCCCCTGTGACTTGATGGATGGTCGTGATGCTTTTCTCACCCTCGCAAGGGACAAGCACCTGGAGTTCTCTTCCCTGCGGAGAGCCCAGTGGTCCACCATGTGCATGCTGGTGGAGCTGCACACCCAGAGCCAGGACCGCTTTGTCTACACCTGCAATGAGTGCAAGCACCACGTGGAGACGCGCTGGCACTGCACCGTGTGTGAGGTAGGCGCGTGGGCCTGCGGGGAGACACTGTGCAGGCATGGCCTGGCAGGGTGATGAGACTGAAGAGACTAGTTTATTCTTTTGGGGGGAAGGGTCATTTAGCCCTTAGGAGGTCCTAGGTGCTTTTGATGGTCTTGGAGCTGGAAGGGCTCAACTATGCTCCTATGCTTTTATTTCAGGATTATGACTTGTGTATCACCTGCTACAACACTAAGAACCATGACCACAAAATGGAAAAACTAGGTCTCGGCTTAGATGATGAGAGCAGCAATCAGCAGGCTGCAGCCACCCAGAGCCCTGGAGACTCACGCCGCCTGAGCATCCAGCGCTGCATCCAGTCTCTGGTCCATGCCTGCCAGTGCCGCAACGCCAACTGCTCCCTGCCCTCATGCCAGAAGATGAAGCGGGTTGTGCAGCACACCAAGGGTTGCAAACGGAAAACCAATGGTGGGTGCCCCATTTGCAAGCAGCTCATTGCCCTCTGCTGCTACCATGCCAAGCACTGCCAGGAGAACAAGTGCCCTGTGCCGTTCTGCCTAAACATCAAGCAAAAGCTCCGGCAGCAGCAGCTGCAGCACCGCCTCCAACAGGCCCAGATGCTCCGCAGGAGGATGGCCAGCATGCAGCGGACTGGTGTGGTAGGCCAGCAACAGGGCCTGCCCTCTCCAACCCCCGCCACTCCAACCACCCCAACTGGCCAGCAGCCCACGACCCCACAAACCCCACAGCCCCAGCCCCCCACTCAGCCTCAGCCCACTCCTCCCAACAGCATGCCTCCCTACTTGCCCAGGACTCAAGCTGCTGGCCCTGTTTCCCAGGGCAAGGCAGCAGGCCAGGTGACCCCTCCAGCGCTCCCTCAGACTGCTCAGCCCCCCCTCGCAGGACCCCCACCTGCAGCGGTGGAAATGGCAATGCAGATTCAAAGGGCAGCCGAAACGCAGCGCCAGATGGCCCAAGTGCAAATTTTTCAAAGACCAATCCAGCACCAGATGCCCCAGATGACTCCGATGGCCTCCATGCCTATGAACCCACCTCCCATGACTAGAGGCCCCAGTGGACACTTGGAGCCAGGGATGGGGCCCACAGGGATCCAGCAGCAGCCCCCCTGGGCCCAAGGAGGATTGCCTCCACCCCAGCAGCTACAGTCTGGAATTCCAAGGCCAGCCATGATGTCAGTGTCCCAACATGGTCAGCCCTTAAACATGGCTCCCCAACCAGGATTGGGCCAGGTAGGGGTGAGCCCACTCAAACCAGGCACTGTGTCTCAACAAGCCTTACAAAACCTTTTGCGGACTCTCAGGTCTCCCAGCTCTCCCCTACAGCAGCAACAGGTGCTTAGTATCCTTCACGCCAACCCCCAGCTGTTGGCTGCGTTCATCAAGCAGCGGGCTGCCAAATATGCCAACTCAAATCCACAACCTCTCCCTGGGCAGCCCGGCATGCCCCAGGGCCAGCCAGGTCTGCAGCCACCTACTATGCCAGGCCAGCAGGGGGTCCACTCCAACCCAGCCATGCAGAACATGAATCCCATGCAGGCAGGCGTCCAGAGGGCTGGCCTGCCCCAGCAGCAACCACAGCAGCAGCTGCAGCCCCCCATGGGAGGAATGAGCCCCCAGGCTCAGCAGATGAACATGAATCATAACACCATGCCTTCGCAATTCCGAGACATCTTGAGACGACAGCAGATGATGCAGCAGCAGCAGCAGCAGCAGCAGGGAGCAGGGCCAGGCATTGGTCCTGGAATGGCCAACCATAGTCAGTTCCAGCAACCCCAAGGAGTGGGCTATCCCCAGCAGCAGCAACAGCAGCAACGGATGCAGCATCACATGCAACAGATGCAACAAGGGAATATGGGACAGATGGGTCAGCTTCCCCAAGCTTTGGGTGCCGAGGCCGGAGCCAGCCTACAGGCCTATCAGCAGCGACTCCTTCAGCAACAGATGGGGTCCCCCGCTCAGCCCAATCCCATGAGCCCCCAACAGCATATGCTCCCCAACCAGGCCCAGTCCCCACACCTACAGGGCCAGCAGATCCCTTCTTCTCTCTCCAATCAAGTGCGTTCCCCCCAGCCTGTCCCTTCTCCACGGCCACAGTCCCAGCCCCCCCACTCCAGTCCTTCCCCACGGATGCAGCCTCAGCCTTCTCCACACCACGTGTCCCCACAGACCAGCTCCCCACACCCTGGACTGGTAGCTGCCCAGGCCAACCCCATGGAGCAAGGGCATTTTGCCAGTCCGGACCAGAATTCAATGCTTTCTCAGCTCGCTAGCAATCCAGGCATGGCAAACCTCCACGGTGCAAGCGCCTCTGACCTGGGCCTGGGCCCCGAGAACTCAGACTTGAATCCAAGCCTCTCACAGAGTACACTAGACATACACTAGAGACACCTTGTAGTATTTTGGGAGCAAAAAAATTATTTTCTCTTAACAAGACTTTTTGTACTGAAAACAATTTTTTTGAATCTTTCTTAGCTTCAAAGACAATTTTCCTTGGAACACATAAGAACTGTGCAGTAGCCGTTTGTGGTTTAAAGCAAACATGCAAGATGAACCTGAGGGATGATAGAATACAAAGAATCTATTTTTGTTATGGCTGGTCGCCGCCAGTCCTTTTTCCCTTTGTGTGTGTGTTTCAAGTGTGCGCTGTGAGGAGGCTGCGCTGTGACGCCAACCCCATGCCCCTCCTTGCACCTCCAATAGGTTTTATTATTTTTTTTTAAATTAATGAAAATATGTAATATTAATAGTTATTATTTACTGGTGCAGATGGTTGACATTTTTCCCTATTTTCCTCACTTTATGGAAGAGTTAAAAAAAAAAAATAATAAAAAAGAACATTTCTAAAACCAGAGGACAAAAGGGGTTAATGTTACTTTAAAATAACGTTCTATATATATATATATATAAATATATATAAATATATATTAAAATACCAATTTTTTTTCTCTGGGTGCAAAGATGTTCATTCTTTTAAAAATGTAAGAAAAAGCAAAATTAAAAAAAAAAAAAAAATCCTCCCCCTTCCTCCCCTCAAGTCAACTTTTGTGCTCCAGAAAATTTTCTATTTCGTAAGTCTGAGCGTAAAACTTCAAGTATTAAAATAATTTGTACATGTAGAAAGAAAAATGACTTTTTCAAAATATACAGGGGCAGCTGCCAAATTGATGTATTATATATTGTGGTTTCTGTTTCTTGAAAGTTTTTTTTTTTTTTTTTCGTTATTTTTACATCTAACAAAGGAACAAATTAAACAGAGGGTGAGAAACGATTCCAGTGGGATGAGTTTAACATGCAAAATATCCCTGGGGTTTCTTCTTTGCTTGCTTTCTTCCTCCTCCTCCTTCGTCCCCCCCCCACCCCCAAATCCCACTTTCTGTAAAACTTGAAAATAGAAAGCAAAAACCCTCAACTGTTGTAAATCATGCAATTAAAGTTGATTACTTATAAATATGAACTTTGGATCACTGTATAGACTGTTAAATTTGATTTCTTATTACCTATTGTTAAATAAACTGTGTTGAGACAGACATTCTGCTTTTGTTTCACTTTCTGCCAGCACAGATTTGCTTTGGAATGCCAGGAAACAAAGCGGATTGGTTTTACAACCTCCTTAAACTCTGAAGCAATTCACAATAGACTGGTGTATTTGTCCAAAGTGTTGCAAACACCAGCTCAGTGCCCTGACTGAATTGATATTTGTCTTCCAGTTCTTGATGTAGCTCCTTCTTCCAAGGCCCCATAAGAATGACCTCAAGGTCATCACACACACACCAGTTTTCAGAAAATGACCTTAGGAAGACAGGCTAAGTCATGAGCCACTCCTTGAAAACCAGGACTTGAAGCTGTTTCCTCTGTTTACACACGCTTTGTTTTTGTTAACTGCCAACCAAAAACATCAAGGAATCATGTAGGAAAGGAAAATAAGGACAAGAAAGCATTTATAACCATGAGTCCAATAATGGGCTAGGTGTTTAAAGAATGGAGAGTTTACTAGATCTCCCGTCCAAACAATGGCTACAAACAACTTAATAATATTAGAAAATACAATTACTAAAACGCTTTGGTCCTTAATCAGCAGGTCCTCTGTTTCTGACATGGAAGTTTTACACCAATTATGTGACAGTCCACTAAGGACTAAAGACTATCCCCAAAGGCACTTCTCCTAAGTGACGTGATTTCCAATTTCTATTTGCTCTTTCCATTCTTTCACATTCATTGTCTTAAGGATAACCAGCAGTCCCTTCATCTGAGATGAACTTGCACGCTCAGCACTCATCAGAGTCAGTAGGATGGAAACCCAGGCAGATGGCACTCAACTGGAGATTTTTAAAGGGATGTAAAGGGGCAGGGGGCACAGGTGCTGATGGTAACGTTTCTGCAAAGCTTAAGAGTATGTTGGATCCTGGAGGAGTGCTGAAGAATTTGGCCCAGAAAAGTGAAGAATCATATCCTGTTGGGAAAAGGTTACAGGTCCATTTTCTTGGCTGAGACCAGATTATAGAGCATAGGGAATGCCTGTTGTAAAAAAGACCCTAGGGCTAGGAGCCAGGATTGATCTAAGCCCCCCCAAAAGGGAAATATTTAGAGCTGTAATCCATTTTGATCCCCCCCCCCTTTGGCTCAGGCTTGCTGGGCTGGGGCATTGTTAAAGTGTCGTTGAGTCGATTGCGACCCTGTATAGGGTTTCCAAGGAGCAGCTGGTGAGCTGGAACCACCAACCTTCAGGCCATCACATTTTCATTGAGGTGTTGCAAAGAAGTGATTGCAGAAATCATCCAACAAGAAAAACGAAAAGAGATCACTGCCCTTTCCCAAGCTAGAAGCAGCTACGCAGAGGGAAGATGGGGGTTACTGAAAGCCATTTTCAGCTTTTCTGTGTATTTGAATCTTTCTACAATGAAAGGTTGAAAAGAACATAACCACATGTGAAAAGTTTTGAACCTCACTGTAGGAATTAGACCCGGTAGGGGCTGACAGGATTCAGGTGCTTTAAACTGTTTAGCTTATTGAATCTACAAGAGCGTCTCCACTTACACAAGAAAACAGGTCCGGGTAAAATAACGCTCCAGATCGCACAGCCTGTTAAAGGGTTCCGGACAAGTCAAAGACTTAGGACGCCAGAGCCCTTCCATTCCATATCCTCTACTTGCCTTGCTCTAGGGAAACTAGAATAATGGTTACAAATTAGAGGGCCCTGCCCCATTTCAAGTAAATTTTTAAAACTGACTGAAAGCAGAGGAAATTTCTTGGTGTATTGTATTCATTCATTCTGTTCAAAAAGAGGACAAAGACCAGTAGCAAAGAGAACAAAGTATTTCAGAATATACTTAACAAAAAACATACAACACTTGTACACTGAAAACTACAAAATTTCTCCCATCATTGAGAAAGAGAACCTAAATACCAACTCAACAGCACTCAACAAAATAAATAGTATGCTCCCAAGAAGCGAGGATGGCAAGCCTTCATCTTGCATACTTTGGACATATTGTCAGGAGGGACTTGGTAAAGTGGCGGGTCAGCAAAAAAGATGAAGACGCCACTCCACCCCACCCCCAGAGATAGACTGCAGCAGTGAGCACTCCAATGTAACAACTTTGAGGGTGGTACAGCTGCATACCTTAAGGTCAGCAGTTCGAAACTACCAGCTGTTCCACAGAAAAAAGATGAGGCTCTCTGCTCCCATAAAGATTGACAGCCTCGGAAACCGTGTACAGGGTTGCTCTCGACTCCACGGCACATAGCAACACAGTTAGGACCAGGCAATGTTTCATTCCGTTGTGCATAGGGTCACTATGAGTCAGAATAGACTCAATGGCACCTAACAATAACAACAAATAAATACAAAGACATTTTTGTGAATGGATTGTAAAATATAATACCGTGAAACAACAAAAACTCCCAAATCTACAGACTCAATGCTACCCTTACCAAAAGCTGCTAGCTTTTTTGCAGAAACTGGCAATATTTTCCATCCTAAAGCGCATGCAAAAATACAAAGGACCCAGAATAGCCAAAACAATCTTGAAAAAGAACAAAACTGGGGTAACTCATATTTCTTAATTTCAAACCTTTCTACAAAGCTACAGAAATCAAGACTGTAGCACTGGCCTTGCTGTTAGATGCAGCACAGAGAAACTGTGTACATAGGGTTTCCCAGGAGCAGCCACTGGTGGGTGTGAAACACCAAAATTGCAGTTATCAATCCTATCTACACGTAGAGATTGATGGGCTCGGGTTGAAAGTTCAGAAATAAACCTTTACGTTTTTGCACAGATACCAACAATTCAATGGGGGGGAAGAATAGTCTTCTTTTCAACAAATTATGCTGGGACAACTGGATATTTTTAAATGACACTGAATCCCTATATAAAAATCAATCCACAAACTATCACATAATTCACAATAAAACATTTAAGGAAAACATAAAATAAATTGAAATCTTGAATTAAAAAAATCAATCCATATATGCACATTTTCATCGAATTCAGACTTTTGAAAATACCTATTTTTGCTAAGTTGACTCCTCAAATATACTTGTGTATTGCTTCTTTCTACCCTTGTAACAAGAAAAATGTAAATT